CATCTTTATGATATTGAGTCATATTGTCCAATAAGTTTTTATTAGTTCATGTTTACTTGTCTTTCAGGAGCGTTTTGATGGTTTTGTACACAGGTGATAGGCATTTTTTAATTAAGCTTATTCCTAAGTGCCTTTTTCTTGCTATTATTGAAAATGCAGTTTAATTCAACATTATGTCTTCCAACTAGTTATTCTTTGGATATGTAAAAGTTATTGATTTCTGTGTATAAATTTTATATTCTCCTACCTTACTGAAAGTCTTCATTTTTTAAGTCACTTTTATTACTGATTCTCCAGGTTCTTTCAGTTATTTCATAATATCATCTACAAATTAAGATGGTATTACTTCTAGTTATGTTTTCAGTCTTTTAGCCCCACTTTATTTTTTCTATCTTATTCCATTGTCTAATTTCTCTTTAAAACTAGCATGCAAATCTTACTCCAGTTGCTAAGGCTCAGTTTTAAATAATGTAATGTAATCATGGGAATGACTGTTTCAGCACATGTGCCCTGTAACACAACCTATTCAAGGTGTTAAAAACTCCAGGGATGGGGGTGACAATCCTATCACACATGCACAGGTCTCATTCACCCATTAAGAGAGGCTAACTGTGAAAGCATGTACACCAATTTAGGGAAAACTTGAGGGTCTTTGTAAAACTCTTCCTTCCACAGTCTACTCTCTGATCCCCTCCACATCCTTCCCAAATGCAAAATACATTTAATATATTTATCTCCTGCCAAGATTTCTAAAATTCTCTTCTCATTACAGCATCAGCCCAAAGTAAAAACAAAAATCTGATTATCTAAATCTGAATTTAGTCATCACATAAATTTAAAGTCCAAAATTACATGTAATATTAAATCAAATTCAGATCCTATTATGGATGAGGCTACAGGACTGGATATTTTATTATTTTTAGTTGATTTATAGGACTTATTTGTATTTTACTTTAATAAAAATGCATAGCTTAGATTATCTCTTCCCACTTTCTGACTTATCTTTTTGCTTTTCTAATGCAGTATTTTGATAATTTGGGATTTTTAAAATTATAATATATTCAAATATAACAATATCTTCATTTATGATTAATATTTTTAGGTTTAAGAAATGTTGCCCAACCATGAATTCACCACAATGTTCTTTATATTTACATTAAATCTTTAGCTTTCACCTCTATCTGTTTTCTGTATGATATAACATAGACATTCATTTTCTTTTTACTTCTTGTCTTGGTCCTTGCGCTATTTATTAGACACTAAGCCTATTTTTTAATCATTTGCAAAGCTGCCTCTTTATTAAACTTTTATATAACCACGAGTCTTGATCTAGAATCACTATAATTACTCAATTTTTCTATATCTTCACCAGTATTTTCATGATTTTATAATAATCTGTTTTTGTGTGTATGTGTGTATCCTCTCCCTACCTTACTCTTCTACTTCAGAAACATGTGGCCCTTCTGCAAAGTTACACTGAAATTGTCCATGGCCAAATGTTTAAGGCATTGGATTTTAAAGTGTGTTCCTAGGACAAGCAAATTCAACATTGTCTGGAAATTTTTTAGGGAATACAAATTCTCAGGCCTGACCATAGATCCAGTAAATTGAAAACTGAGGTTAACTCAGAAATCTGGATTTAACATACCCTACAGGTGATTCTGATGAATGCTCAAGTTTGAGCACCACGAGCTTACACTAATCAGTCACAATTACCCATTAAGTTTTATACCATTGACTCCTAATTATACAAGGTGATTCGCTAACTATGATTGCTGAGCTGGGAGAATACAGCTGGAGCCAACTGATACCTCAGTTGTATGCTGGCTACTGATCAAGGCAAGAGAGGAACAGGTACTTTCCTAATCATGAAATACTTGAGGTGCATTTCCTATTTCTCATAGCTCACAAATTAGGAATTCTCTGGGGAATCTGAAGTTCGAAGGGCATTGTCCCATAGTATGGTGAGCACAGAGGGAACCATGCACCTAATACCATTTTATCTTTGTATTTTTCCCCAAAATCACTGTTCGGCATGTCCAGTTCAGTTAGTTGTCTTTGTTTACAATACAATTCATTAATTCGTATTGCTAATGTTTTTATATATTTCCTTTACTTAAATTATCTTTTTCTTGTTTATATATAAAAATTTAGGCCGGGAGCGGTGGCTCATGCCTATAATCCCAGCACTTTGGGAGGCCGAGGCGGGTGGATCACAAGGTCAAGAGATCCAGACCATCCTGATCAAAAAGGTGAAACCCCGTCTCTACTAAAAATACAAAAATTAGCTGGGCATGGTGGTGCATGCCTGTAGTCCCAGCTACTCGAAAGGCTGAGGCAGGAGAATTGCTTGAACCCAGAAGGCGGAGGTTGCAGTGAGCCGAGATCGCGCCATTGCACTCCAGTCTGGGTAACAATAGCGAAACTCCATCTTAAAAAAAAATATATATATTTTTATTGGCCTTCTTGCTAACCTCATTAATTCTAATAACTTGCCTATAAAGTCTTCGCGTTTTTTATGTAGTCAGTTATATTATTGGTGTGTAATAACAAATTTATTTTCCCTTCAATTTCTTATACGTTCCAATTACTTTTTCTTCTTTTACTGCCCAGGCCAAGACATTGAAGATAAATACCTCTAACATGTTCCACTAAAAATAATAATTGCTGTAGGTTTGGGATGAATACACTTAACAAGGTTAAAAGAAAGTCCTTTCATACTTCTGATTTACTAAGGAGTCATGAATAATCTTAAACTTTTCAGATGATTTTCTGCATCTTAAATATTTTCTACATGAATTTTTAATTGTGGTAAATAATTTTCTTCTAATGTTAATCCATCCTTAAAATCTCAACATAAAGTCTAATTTCTCATCATGTATTGTTTACACAGAAGGATTTGTTTTGTTAACTTTTTATAGTTTTTCTAAGTTCATGAGGATGATTGTCTTCTGTTTTCTTCTTTCCTCATCTTTTCCTCTGATAATTTTATGTTATCTATGTAGAATGAGTTGGAGAATGTTTCTTATTTTCTTAATATCTAAATAATTTTTGTGTGATAAAAATCATGTGTTCCTGAAGCTTTGGTAGAGCTCACATTTTAAATCATAAGAGCTTACTGTTTAATTTGTATAAAGAGCTTAAACTAGTGATTTATTTTATTTAATAATTTTGATAGTCTTTGATTTATGAACTCAGTGACACTCTTTTAAATATCTTAAACTTTTTATTTTATTTTATTTTATTTTATTTATTTATTTATTTTGAGGCAGAGTTTTGCTTTTGTTACCCAGGCTGGAGTGCAATGGCGCGATCTCGGCTCACTGCAACCTCCGCCTCCCGGGTTCAGGCAATTCTCCTGCCTCAGCCTCCTGAGTAGCTGGGATTACAGGCACACGCCACCATGCCCAGCTAATTTTTTTGTATTTTTAGTAGAGACAAGGTTTCACCATGTTGACCAGGATGGTCTCGATCTCTTGACCTCGTGATCCACCTGCCTCGGCCTCCCAAAGTGCTGGGATTACAGGCCTGAGACACTGCGCCCGGCCCAAATATCTTAAACTCTTAAACTATTTTCTGCATGGGTCATATTCTGCTATTGATAACTTTAATACCTGGTGGACCCAAGGCCTAAATGTGGTTTGTTACATCTGCTAACTCTTAGTCCTGGTTTGCTTTCTTATATATTTGCTAAAGGTTGTTTGTGAGTCTATATATGTTTGATCATAATCTGCATAATCTTTGGGGTTTTTAAAAATGTATGCAGACACTCAGATAGGAAATTTGTATGTTTATGTCAGAATTTGAATTTGTTGGGAAGATAAGCACTGGTGAGTCCCTTTAAGAATCCTGGTGAAAATGCTCAATGGAAGTATTGTACCTCAATTTGCTCGTCTCTGGAATGGTGTCATTATTTGCCCTGAAGACAACTTCAGCTTTAGATTTAATGATCACCCTTTCCCACTTAGGTTTCAGTTCAAGAATTTTTTTTAGCATAGAAATTAGCAAAATCCCTTCCTGAGACCCAGAAATGTTTTTTAAAAGTATGTTTTATCAAGGTTCCTGTTGTTTACTTGACAGGTAAGCAGTTCAAAGTATCCAGGTAGGCAAACCAATGGGGAAAAAAAGGCTTTAAAAAAAAATTTAACTACAAAAAGTGCTGTGAATACAGACTTAATCTCCAAAGGGCATTTAGACTAATTAGACCTCATAAGGTAGTAGTATCCAACTGTATTTATTTATAAATTATTCAAATAATTTTAATTAAAATATATTTATTTATTTGAATTTTTATAAAACATACATGTGTATAAAATACTAAAAATAAAATACATACTATCTTCATAAGACATACATGTGTATAAAATATTTATTTTTCTAATCACAAGTTATTCTTAAATTTGTATTTCTAAGCTTGACCACTCCAGAGAGCATGACATTAATACATCAATGGGATAATAAACATTTTCATTTGTGTGTCTAATAAACAATTCAGTTTTAATTCATTCAAGCAAAAACATCAGATTGCCCTACTTCTTGTTATTTGTTAACTCAGTTGATGTTAAAAACATTCACCTAGATCCCATAGAGGAAACCTTCATGTTTGTCCCTGATTATTCTTTTGTAACTCCTTATTGGTTAATCATTTATTTTTTAGGCAAATTCCTTTAACTCATTTTCCAAATATATTTTCAACTTTTCAATGACTCTCTATTTCTGGGGCTCAAACTTACTTTTAGCCAGCAACATCTCTAATCTAGAACATACCAATTACTTATAAATGAATTTGACTTCTTGGCTAAATATTGAGGGAAGTCATATGATTGTTTCTGAAAAGTGGACTTGAAGATTTGAAGTCTTGTTTGATTTTTATTTATCTGGTGTATTAGTCTGTTCTCACACTCTTATGAAAAAAATACCCAAAATTGGGTAATTTTTAAAGGAAAGAGGTTTAATCGACTCACGGTTTTACATTGCTGTGGAAGCCTCAGGAAACTTACAATCATGGCAGAAGGCAAAGAGGAAGCAGGCACCTTCTTCACAGGGCAGCAGAATGGAGTGAGTGCAAGCATGGGAAATGCCAGACACTTATAAAAACCATTAGATATCATGAGACTTTCTCATTATCATAAGAACAGCATGGCGAAACAAACAGCCCTTGTGATTCAATTACCTCCATCTATCTCACCCTTGATATATGGGGATTATTATGGGGATTACAATTCAAGGTGAGATTTGGGTGGAGACACAGAGTCAAATCATATCATCTTGACATCTTGGAATCCAATAGCGGCAGATGAGTTTCTGCAGTTTGACAGAAGTATATGTCACATTGCATTGAAATAATAAAAAAGTGTGAGGTAAATTTCCGAGGAAAAGACTGAAGTGATTTGCCATTGATAAAGAAAAGTCCAAAATTGAAGCAACATGAAAAAAGGGAATGAAATTGTTTTTAGCTATTTCTTGGAGAATTTGGCTACAATTCCATAGTTTGCCTTGTCTAGACTCCAAACTTACACATAGTCCATCACCACTGAAGTGTGGAGAAGTTATTTAAGCATAGGATGGAAGAATGTACCCAGTAGAGACTCAATAAATGTCAACAGGTGATAAATGATATTAAAATGGTGTATACCAGCTGGACACGGTGGCTCACACCTGTAATCCGAGCACATTGGGAGGCCAAGGCAGGTGGATTATGAGATCAAGAGATCAAGACCAACCTGGCCAACATGGTGAAAACTCATCTCTACTAAAATTACAAAAATTTGCTGGGCATGGTGGTGTGCACCTGTAGTCCCAGCTACTCAGAGGCTGAGCCAGAAGAATCACTTGAAGCTTGAACCCAGGAGGCAGAGGTTGCAGTGAGCTGTGATCGCTCCACTGGTGATCTGCCTGGTGACAGAGTGAGACTCCATCTCAAAAAAAAAAAAAAAATTGGTGTATATCAAAGATGTCATTTAGAGTAAATTGAAAATAAATTCTGGAGGAAAATATAACATTTTCCTCTCTCTTGTGTATGCTTTATCATTACAGAATGACAATATTATTGAATGATAATATTATTGGAGGCCAAATAACAGACAACATACAGGTTAGCACCATGGATTAGGGAAAGAGCATTAACTGTGTATCCATGAGACCCTCATTCAAATATATTTTTTTTAATTTTTGTGGAAACACAATAGGTGTATGTATTTATGGGTTACATGAGCTATTTTGATACAGTCATGCACTGTATAATAATCATACCAGGGTAAATGGGGTGTCTGTCATCACAAGCATTTATTCTTTGTGTTATGAGCAATCCAATTATACACTTTCAGTATTTTTTAAAGTTTAATTAAATTGTTTTTTACTGAGGTCACCCTGCTGTGCTAGTAAATATTAGGTCCTACTGATTCTTTCTAACTAGTTCTTTATACTGATAAAGCATTCCCACTTCATCCCAACTTCCCTTTCTCACTACGCTTCCCAGCCTTTGGTAAACATCCTTCTACTCTGTATCTCCATGAGTACAATTGTTTTAATGTTCAGCTTCCAAAAATAAGTCACAACTTGAGGTTTGTCTTTCTATGCCTGGCTTATTACACTTAAAATAATGACCTCCACTCAGAGACCCAATCAAAAAGTCAGCAACTACTCAGACGACAGGTGGATAAATCCACAAAGATGGGAAGAAACCAGTGCAAAAAGGAGGAAAACACCCGAAACCAGAACACCTCATCTCCTACAAGGGACCACAACCCCTCACCAGCAAGGGAGCAAAGCTGGATGGAGAATGAGTGTGATGAAATGACGAAATTAGACTTAAGAAGGTGGGTAATGAGAAACTTCCGTGAGCTAAAAGAACACGTTCTAACTCAATGCAAAGAAACTAAGAACCTTGAAAAAAGATTTGAGGAAATGATAACAAGAATGGACAACTTAGAGAGGAATATGAGTGAATTGATGGAGCTAAAAAACACATCATGAGAACTTTGCGAAGCATGCACAAGTCTGGACAGCTGAATTGACCAAGCAAAGAAAGGATATCAGAGGTTGAAGATCAACTCAATGAAATAAAACGATAAGGCAAGATTAGAGAAAAAAGTGTGAAAAGGAATGAACAAAGTCTCCAAGAAACGTGGGACTATGTAAAGAGACCTAATCTACCTTCGATAGGTGTACCTGAATATGATGAAGAGAATGAATCCAAGCTGGAAAATATTCTTCAGGATATTATCCAGGAAAATTGCCCCAACCTAGCAAGGCAGGCCAATATTCAAGTCCAGGAAATACAGAGAACACCACAAAGATATTCCACAAGAAGAGCAACCCCAAGGCACATAATCATCAGATTCACCAGAGTTGAAATGAAGGAGAAAATGCTAAGGGCAGCCAGAGAGAAAGGTCGGGTCATCCACAAAGGGAAGTCCATCAGACTCACAGCAGATCTCTCCGCAGAAACCCTACAAGCCAGAAGAGAGTAGGGGCCAATATTCAACATCCTTAAAGAAAAGAACTTACAACCCAGAATTTCATATCCAGCCAAACTGAGCTTCATAAGTGAAGGAAAAATAAAATTCTTTGTGAACAAGCAAGTACTCAGAGATTTTGTCACCACCAGGCCTGCTTTACAAGAGCTCCTGAAAGAGGCACTGCACATAGAAAGGAACAACCAGTACCAGCCACTCCAAAAACATACCAAATGGTAAAGAGCATCAACAAAATGAAGAATCTGCATCAACTAATGGGCAAAACAGACAGCTGGCATCAAAATGGCATTATCAAATTTACACATAACAATATTAACTCTAAATGTAAATGGGCTAAATGCACCAATCAAAAGACACAGACTGGCAAATTGGATAAAAAGCCAAAACCAATTGGTGTGCTGTATCCAGGAAACCCATCTCACATGCAAGGATACACAAAGGCTCAAAATAAAGGGATGGAGGAAGATTTACCAATCAAATGGAGAGCAAAAAAAAGCAGGAGTTCCAATTCTCATCTCTGATAAAATAGACTTTAAAGCAACAAAGATTAAAAGAGACAAAGAAGGACATTACATAATGGTAAAATGATCAATACAATATGAAGAGCTAAGGATCCTAAATATATATGGACCCAATACAGGAGCACCCAGATATATAAGGCAAGTTCTTAATGACTTACAAAGAGACTTAGACTCCCACACAATAATAGACAGATCAACCAGACAGAAAATTACAAGGATATCCAGGGCTTTAACTCAGAACTGGAACAAGCAAACCTGATAGACATTTACAGAACTCTCCACCCCAAATCCACAGAATATACATTCTTCTCAGCACCACATCACACCTACTCTAAAACTGACCACATAATTGGATATAAATCACTCCTCAACAAAATCAAAACAACTGAAATCATAACAAACAGTCTCTCAGACCATAGCGCAATCAAGTTAGAACTCAGAATTCAGAAACTACTCAGAATTGCACACCTTTATGGAAACTGAACAACTGGCTCTTGAATGTTGATTGGATAAACAATGAAATCAAGGCAGAAATAGAGAAGTTCTTTGAAACCAGCAAGAACGAAGACACAACATACCAGAATCTCTGGGACACATTTAAAGCAGTCTCCAAAGGAAAATATATAGCTATAAGTGCCCACATGAGAAGAGTGCAGAGATTCAAAATTGACACCCTATCATCTAAATTGAAAGAGCTAGAGGAGCAAGATCAAAAAAACTCAAAACCTAGCAGAAGACAAGAAATAACTAAGATCACGGCAGAACAGAAGGAGATAGAGACACGAAAAACCCTTCAAAAAATCAATAAATCCAAGAGCTGGTATTTTGAAAAGATCAACAAAATAGACAGACCACTAGCCAGACTGATAAAAAAGAAAAGAGAGAATAACCAAATAGATGGAATAAAAAACGATAAAGGGGAAATCACCACAGATTCCACAGAATTCAAACCATCATCAGAGAATATTACAAACAACTCATGCACATAAACTAGTAAACCTGGAAGAAATGGATAAATTCCTGGACACTTGTGTCCTCCCAAGCCTAAACCTGGAGGAAGCTGAAACCATGAATAGACCAATAACAAGGTCTGAAGTTGAGGCAGCAATTAATAGCCTACCACACAAAAAAAGCCCAGGTCCAGATGGGTTCACAGCCGAATTCTACCAGACACACAAAAAGGAGCTGGTACCATTCCTTCCGAAATTATTCCAAATAATTCAAAAAGAGGGAATCCTTCGCAAATCATTTTATGAGACCAACATCATCCTGATACCAAAACCTGGCAGAGACTGAACAAGAAAAGAAAACTTCAGGCCAATATCCATGATGAACATAGATGCAAAAATCTTCAATAAAATACTGGCAAGCCGATGGCAACAGCACATGAAAAAGCTTATCCACCATGATCAAATAGGATTCATCCTGGGGATGCAAGGCTGGTTCAACATACGCAAGTCTATAAACGTAATTCACCACATAAACAGAACCAAAACCAAAAACCACATGATTATCTCAATTGACGCAGAGAAGGCCTTTGACGAAATTCAACAGCCCTTTATGCTAAAAACCTTCAATAAACTCGGTATTGACGGAACATATCTCAAAATAATAAAAGCTATTTATGACAAAACAACAGCGAATATCATACTGAATGGGCAAAAACTGGAAGCATTTACTTTGAAATCTGGCAGATGCCCTCTCTCACCACTCCTATTCAATATAGTACTGGATGTTCTAGCCAGAGCAATCAGGCAAGAAAAAGAAATAAAGGTATTTAAATAGGAAAGGAGAAAGCCAAATAGTCTCTATTTGCAGATGACATGATAGTATATCTACAAGACCCCATCGTCTCAGCCCAAAAACTCCTGAAACTGGTAAGCAGCTTCAGCAAAGTCTCAGGATACAAAATCATTGTGCAAAAATCACAAGCATTCCTATACACCAATAACAGACTGAAAGAGAGCCAAATCAAGAATGAACTGCCATTCACAATTGCTACAAAAAGAATAAAATACCTAGGAATACAACTAACAAGGAACATAAAGGACCTCTTCAAGGAGAACTACAAACCACTGCTCAA